CTTCTTCTTGTTCTTTAGATTTTGTGAGTTCGAGTCTTCTTAGACGACCGCTCAATCGGTTAAAAATGACAAATTTCAACACGGAAATGTCGTTATTTTAAGGTTACTTATTTGTTTTCTCGGTCACAGTTTCTATAGTTATGGATGTTTGATAGGTTTCTACAAAACAGCTAGGAAAGCTCTGTAACTCATACGGTGTCCTTGTCTTGTGAATTGCTATGACAGAGAAAGATGAAACAGAATCGAATGATCGGACTGATCTTTCGTAAGTCTCTAGCTTTCCAAAAATTCCGCAATGCGCTATGCGCAACCGGATGCGCAGTAATAGTATAACCTATTTCGGCTATACTTTTGAAGGTCTTTTTATTTTTTATTGTCTATGTGTTGACAGTGGTTTTTTGACAAAATTTTTATACGCTTGAAAACTATTTTGTACTCGGTTTTTTAGTTTTTTCCTTTCCCTAACAATGGTGATTGTGTGTTGTTTGCCGTGTGCCGCCTTATAAAAATAATTCCTATTCACCGGCGGATGTGTCTTTTTATAAGTTCCCATCGATCCTAAAGTCTGTTTTTTTTAAGACTATTTCACTAGAGTGTTTTACCACAGCATATACAAAAACAATCAGCAGGCTAACTTGAGTGACATCCCGTGTAATAAAGGAATTCATGGTCAGGATGTCACTAGCGGCCATTTTGGGATACGAGACAGGACCCGATTAAGAATAATTTAGATTTCTTCTTTCGGCTCACAGAGTCGTATTGGCTTTAAATAAACTAATTTAATATTACTCACATATAATAATAGAGAGATATTGCATGTCAGCCTTAATAAGGCTAAAACCTTATTTAGACGCGATAGGTCATTTCCTTACTTCGAATGACAAGTCTAGATATTGCAAATTTCCAGAAACGACTGGGAGTTGATGCCTTATTTCTAACCTGAAAAATCTTGAATTTTTGTTAGGTAGATAATGTTTATTTTTTAAGTTTTGAACTTGAAGTGTTTTTTTCTGATGTGGAATATATGCTTAAATATTTTGAAAATAAGAAATTATTTGTTCAAAATAGGTATTTATATAGTACGTGTAAAATCGTAGAACAGTGGCAGAAAAATGACACAAATTCTCGAAGCAAAACCAGTTCATCGTTATACGTGAACCTTGAGATTGTCTGTTTGTGTTGTTCGGGGCCTGTGTTCGGGACAGCACTTCCTGCTTTTGGGCGTTCGTTTATGAGTGTTTTATATGGTTTATCTGCCATAATCTGAGATATTACAGCTTATAATTCAAGTTAGTGCGACACAAACAAACAAACCTTAAGTCTGCCTCTTTTCTGTGCCTCGATGCTGTTTTGATTTTGCCCCATTTCTCAAAGTTTGGGAAAAAAAAATTGAAGAAAAGTCAAAATTTGTTGTCATGAATCTAAAATCTATGGTTATAAACACAAAACATAACAAAACTCAGTTCGCGATTCCTACCGATCATCGCCGATCGACTAAGAACTTTTAAATAAGGCAAAGATAATTTATCCTCAATAATTTATTAATATTTTTAAATGACAACACGAATTTACTAAAATGACTTTGAAAATCATAACTAAAATTCCGCTCTACACTGCACGCCTAAGACCTCCGTCAGAAATAAACAAATAAATTAAAATGTCGGCGTCCCTGCCGTTTAATGACAGGATAGGATGGTATCCCCTAATGGCGGCGTGCGCAGAAAAAATGCGCGTGAGAGTTAGCCTGCTGATCGTTTTTGTATATGCTGTGCAAGAAGTGTATGCCCTATGTCAAATTAGTCATGCCCTATGTCAAATTCGTCATGCCCTATCACAAATTTGACTCTAGCTACGGCCCTGAGTTTGAAATAGTTATTGGATCTATTGATGTTGATTTTGTGCTCGTGGTTCCACAGAAACTCCGGACATAGGTGTGCGTTTCGAAAATTGTTGATTAGTGCTTTTTCGAAAGGCATTATTGTAATTTTTGTCAAAAGTTCCTGAACTAGTAGGAAATTTTGTTGGTACATAGTCCTTTTTAGGTGTTATGTTAATAGGTTGGGATGGAAACTGTGGTTTCTGTGGTACATAGGGTGTTTTTTGTGTATATTGAGGTTTTTGTTGAGTATAGGTTTGTTGTGAACAAAATTTTTAATTTTGAAATTTGAAAAATTTTGATTAGTAGAATGATTAAGTCCTCTACTAAATTTCATGTGATTCTCCGCTAGTTGATAATTTAACAGAAATTTGTTAGCTGCATCCAACGTTTGTGGATTTTGAACCATTAAAATTGTTCTTAATTCGGTTGGCGAATTAGTGACTATACCATTTCCAGCATTATTTCACACTAGTGAAATTTGATATCAAATTAATGAAAACTAAATTCACATCAGTGAAATCTAATTTCGCTCAAATGAAAATTGATTTCAAAGTAATGAAAACTAAATTCTCACAAACGAAATTTAATTTCACATTTTTGAAAATGAATTTCAAACTGACCTTAATTTAATACTTCTTTTTCAAACATTTATTATTTTAATTTTAAAAATCATTAACCACGTTATGTATTTCACCCTAATGAAATAAACCCAGTGAGTTTAGATATCATAAAATACAATCATGAAACACAATAATAATTATAAATTATTTAAATAAATTAAACTTCAGTTTCGCGAATCACGTAGGAAGGTATTAGCAGCTGTCCTAAGAGTGAACAGACTTAACTGTAGTTTTTTTTATTTAAATAATTTATAATAATTATTATTAAACCATAGTATTCAATCAATAATTGAAAAATATATTCTTTTTTGGAATTGTGAGATAGACTTTTTGTTGTCCTTCATTGTATAATGAGGAAGTTGCATAAAATTTTATTTTGATGCGAAATGTATTTAAAGTAATGCAAAATACTTAAAAAGTATATTTCTATATTTAAATCCTCCTTATACTGAACCACTAATAAATAATTAATTATCCAAATATTGAATATAACAATGTGCGCGAAAACTTTCTCAAATTAGTTATGACGTCATGGAACGATAAATCAACAAAAGTGTGGTTATGTCAACGTGAGACAGACATAAAAAAAATGACTCGTTTTAAAGGATATCGTCTTGTGACGTCATTGATCTACGACTGCGTCTTGGCGCGAAGAGAGTTATTTTGAATTTCTATGTTTTCTTACAGAAAAACTATTAGTTGAAAATTCAAAATTTATGTGGCAAGTTAATTTTTACAATGTGGAGAATTCAATAAGAGAAGAAAAAAATTCCTCATTATTGTTGTTTCATGATTGTATTTTATGTTATCTAAACCCAGTGGGTTTATTTCATTAGGGTGAAATAAATAACGTTGTTGATGTTTTTTCAAATTAAAATAATAAATGTTTGAAAAATGAGTATTAAATTAGGGTCAGTTTGAAATTCATTTTCGAAAATGTGAAATTAAATTTCGTTTGTGAGAAATTAGATTTCGTTACTCTGAAATCAATTTTCATTTGAGCGAAATTAGATTTCACTGATGTGAATTTAGTTTTCAACAATTTGAAATCAAATTTCACTAGTGTGAAATAATGCTGGAAATGGTATAGATTTTGAATAGCAATAATTTCGTTTTGTTCAATCAAGACATTTGCAACTACCGTTAAATTTGGGTCGCACATGATTTTAGATGTAATTCTTTGAACTAAAACCTTTTAGTTTATCCAAATATTCAATAATAGTTTCTTTATTAGTTTTAGTGGTATACATGAGCTCTTCTACCAAATTCTGTCTAGAATATTGATAACCATTGTAAATCAGGACGTGCCATAAGAAAATTTTCCGCGTCATTTATTAATTTTGATTTTATGGCGGTAACCACATACTCTTTCTGGGCATTTTCACCAGTGTAATAGGTTTGGCAAAATTCATGTTTCTTATAAAATATTCTAAATATTGGCATTCGCCACTGAAAGGTTTGATCAGTTGAACGATTGATTTTAAATTTTCACTCAATGTTACGATTGGCCTTTGATTTTGGTTGACCTTTTTGGAATTGCAAAAGAACAAACCTCTGAATTTAAGTTTTCTCAATTAATCAAAAATTAGAAATTACAAAATTTTTAAAGAGAAAGGATGTACTTAGTAGGCACGATGCTAATAACAGTAGTCTTTCTTCACACGTTGTTTCTTGTTATTCTTTTTACTCAGTTAACCAATTCGAAGTGGGCAGTATCTGGAACGTTTAATAGCAGCACTGAAAATCCAAATTTCTCGAACTTCCTTCAGTCTTTTGAAATTTTCGCGACAAATTACGACTGTATCGACTTTCCCGAAACTTGAGCACTCTGAGTATCCTACCGACTGCGCCAATTATATTTCGATTCAGAAACTTGTATTTTAAAAAACATTTATTTTATTAATTAAAATACAGAGGGGACAAAAGAAAATATGTGGATCAAATTGCTACAGCAAAATCTTGAAAACAAATGAACGTTCCTTATGGGACTGCCCTGGTTTAAATAAGAATTTAATGCCGATATGGCAATTTGATGTTTACTTTACAACAATGTATTTAAAAAGTCAAAGAGGAAAGGGGTTGTTAGCTCATTAAAGCATATAAAAAATGGCTATTTGATTATAAATTAGCATGGCAATTTGGTTAATATAACTTAGGTACATTATACGCAAGATATGTGACTGTTTTACTAGCTCAAGATGACAAGATTTTGTGACCGTTCGTTGGCGATTTTCTCCTATCGCCAGTAAGAACTGTTCATCCTGGCCAATAATCTAAATTACTGAGTATAACAGGTGGCATTTATTCATAATGAATTTTGATTCATTATTAATATTTCTCATTAAAGACCACACATTCTCTGCTAGCGGCTATACTCTAATAGTAAAATTAAAGAGTTACCCGCACCCAAAGCAAAAACTTTCTTCAATAATCCCAATAGTCGATTTATTACGAGATATAGTAGAAGATTCCGTTGCTTCAACATTTTTGTATTTACCTTCGCAAGGTCGAGACGCGCCGTTTACTCGGCAGTTACACTCATAACAGGTGGAGTCGTTACCGTATCTACTTAACATAAAAATCCCGTGATTTTGGTTAATTAGCAGCAATAAAAAATCCGCGCAATTTCGGGAATGTGAAGTTTTTGTGCCACTTTGTTTGAGTTTTGTGAGTTCTTCAAAATCAATAATAATGGTTCCGTTTGGATATTAAAACTAAATTCTTTCATGTACTATAGGAAAATTATGGAAGTTAGGCGCCAGTAATGTAGCCCAAATCCAAAATTAATTTTAAAGTTTGATGCTAGATTTGGACTAAATTAAGACCGATAATTAAATTACTTGATGTGTAGTTCTTAACTGAAAAATGTAGGTATGCCTAAAAATATTCTAGGATCCGCCGATATGTTTGCTTAAGTCAATTACATATTGATTGGGATTCACTCATTATCAAATACCTAAAGGAAGTCAGTAATAAATATGGTGAACTGATGTAAGTGCAATGTCCTCAAAACTCAAATTTATGATAACCATTCAATCGTAGATGATGTCGCATGTTTAACATGTTTAATAAATCAAACTATTTCTCAAAAACGAAAGTATTTATGCAAATCAATTGTAAAAAAAAATCACAAATTAAAACGATTATTAAATCAATTAATAAACTAAATTGATTGTGTTGTTTTTTATATAACGATTTCTCTTGATGCATTTGTTTAATTTTTCGCATAATTTCCTTGAGCTAAACCAATAATGTTACACATACATAAATCACGTGAACTTATGACAACATCTGAGATTTATCCCATGAGGCTGTTGGCTGTTATCAGTGTTTGCAGTTAGTAATAATGGAATTTTTCTGTCATCACTGACATGATTTTTTTTCAACATACATCATAGACGGAGAAGAAAAACTAAAAAAAGATAAAATATCCAATGAAGATATTATTCGATTTTATCCATGACTGTTTCATAGTAGGTATATACTCATTATGTTTGTCTTCTTTTAATTATAATACTTATTATGCACTACTACCAGTGAGAACCCGGTTCAAATTCTATTGAGTATGCTACAAATCAACGGTTGTCATACTAAGAAAACTCATTAGGTATGCACTACTACTATTAAGAATCCTGTTTACATGTTACCAAATGTTATAAAACAACTATTATCTTGGAATTATCTATCTCAATAAATAATTTTATACTTATATAGGTAGTTTACCTAGGTACAGTCGAAATCATTGCAATTGGCACACACTATGTAAATATCCCTCGTAATGTGTCAAATCTGACACACAGTAATAGCAAAATGCTGCACTAAATAGATTTATTGGTTAGAATTTTGACTTAATACGAGGGATTTTAAAGAGTGTGTGCCAATTGCAATGATTCCGACTGTACATAATTCTTCATTAAAAAATGTAGATGAAAATATTCAGTAATCCTAGATAAAGTATCCCTAATATTCACTTGCAATAATGACTATTATTCGATCACCCAGATGATTTTCGATAATTCGTCCATTGTCTCATCGCCTTCAGAAAGTTTAATAAATCAATAAAATTAATTCATGATAAGTCATCGATTATACTTTAAAAAAAAACATATTAATCTAGTTTAATTTTATTGACAATAATGATAAACTGTATAATAAGCAGTCGATAGGAATGTATTTCCAATTATAAGTAAAAAATCACAGCTGGACGCTGGTCGTTTCCATAGGTAGGATATATTTCAAATGAGAAATGTTGAAATAACTGTTAGGCAACCAGTACCAGTACATTCCTTATTTTAAACAAGAAGATTCATAGTTGGGATTATATACCTTATAAGGAAAAACTAGTAGGTACTCAATTATCAACTATTATACGAAAAAAAAAACTTTTTGAAGCACTTTATCTTACAAGCCAAAGGTAATTTAAACTTTAAGATTGAAACCAAACGGAACCATTAGATTGAGGTATACCCATGCAATTTCTATGGGTTTTATTGATATTTATCGCATCCTACTTCTCGGATGCGACGTTATCAATAAAGCACACGACATGGTTCTTTAACCTATAGGACGATCGGCGTGCGTCCCACTTTTATATGGTCCCGATTTCGGTGAAATGTGATTACGCCAAAGGTAAGGTGTTATTATTTCATCTGCACGACTTTTCTGGCAAATGAATCTGTATAAAATTTGTGATAAATCGTCTTCCATTCCGAAGGTATTTGTGTGGTGTTAACCGGTAACACCGTCAAGTGGAAAATGCCCTCCGATGTCGTTTCTTTGGTCACCACTGGACTAGGAGTCAGCGTTTTAGCTGGAATATTGTCTGGAATTTGTTACGTTTGGGCGCATGGGATTAGAACGAGAGAAAGGTAGGTTATTTACTTCTCCAATTTCATATTCATTAATGTTAGCTGCTGGCTGAATTTCAACATACAAATACCCACTTATTACATATCATCCCTAGTTTTTGGAGCCCTCATTTTTTGAGTATCGCACACGTCAAACTAGGAAACGAATTCGAAAACAACTGCAGTCGGAAATTCTTATCTTATTTTAAAATTTGCAAATTTCCTTATTATTCCAGTTGAAATACTATTAAAAATAACAGTGAAATTGCAAAAATTCCCATAAAGTTGAAGATTGGTATGAATGTTCGGAACACCATTATGTTGAAAAGTCCCCATCGATCCCGTACATCTCCAACCCTGTTTTATCGACCTGAATCCAACTTCTAAAAAACTAATCAAATAAAAAGCATGTCGGGTCAAAAGCAAGCAGGGGCGCATATACGGGGGGGGGGTAATGGGGGTAATTACCCCCCCCCCCCCCCAGAAAACTAGAAAATTTTCAACCAACCTAAATTTTAGTTTTTCTACTGAAAATATAGGAATTATATTGCGAAAACTATTAAAATACTACTAACATGGCAGCAGCGCTTTTTTACTTTTGTCTTCGTCATCGACGTCAAATGTCTGTCACTCGGTGCCGCGCCACTTAGGGTCGGTTTCAATAGCGATTCACCTCTGGGTTGGTTTCAACTCCAGGGACCGAGTTCGTTTTTGTCATCTTTTTCGTCGATTTGCTCCGAAATTTTGACAGGCATGTGATTTGTAAATTGAAACTATCTTATCCAATCACGTGCCTGTCAAAAATTTGAAGCAAATTGACGAAAAAGATGACAAAAACCAACTCGGCCAGGGTAAACGTGTCTTAGGGCCGGTTTCTCAATAGCAGGACACTCCCAGGTTAAATAAGGGGTTAAACATAACTCCAAGGTAAACAAAGCAACTGGACACGCTGACCCTGGAGTTGAAATTAACCCGGAGCTGTCTCGCTATTAGGGAGATATCGGTAACCCAAAGAGGTTCATGCGGTATTAGCGCCTACGTTATTTTGACATTAAACCTATGCGCGATTCGAATATTGGTAGAAAAGCATCGATGTTTTCTCAACATCGATTTTTGGAAGGTAATAATTTGGGCCTGACGCCCCCAAAAAATTTTCGGGGAGCCTGCGACAAGCTGCCTCCGGCGCGGCGGTAAGTAAGCGCGTGTATCGGATTTTTGTTTACCCCCCCCCAGACCCACACTCTGGATGCGCCACTGGAAGCAAGAGGGTGAAACTGTTACTGTTGATCGTGGCATGAAGACATTAATCAATGCAAGTACCTACTGAAAGAGCTGATGAATTTTTGGAATATCTGAAAAATCAGAATCTGTGATGTGACAATACATGTGCAGTGCAGTGTGTGAGTATACTATCAAGTTCAAGTGTGGCTTGGTTATCAACTAGATCCAAAAGACTGTGGTTGGAAGTTGATCGACAGACGACAATACATTGGAACCAGTTCAAACTTTATTCTCATCTGCGCCGGAAAAACTGCTCAACACAATTTTTTGCAATTATTGTAAAAGGGGATGTAGTGCTGAATGCGGCTGCAAAAAAGTTGGATTATTTTGTTCTCTTGCATGTACTAATTGTCAAGGCCAGTCGTGCTCCAATGTTGAATCACCAACAGAAGAGGATTCGTATGATACCAACGAGGAGACATGTGATGCATCGCTATTGAGGCAATTTACCTGCAACCAGCAAGAAGAACAAGAACAAGATGAAGAGGAAGCAGAAGTATTAGACGATTATGAATCTGACGAATAATTTTCCCCAATTGTCTTTTTCGTCATACTGCAGACTCTCCTATATGGGTATATGTTTGAAAATAACGGCCGGAGGCCGTTATTTATATTTTAACCTACCGGCGAATAAATAACGGCAGGCGGCCGTTAAATATACACTTTCAGTTTCAATTTCGCTCATGTTATAGTAAGATAACAGTACAGTATGACGAGAAAAAAAAAAGCGCGCTTTAGTACACTAATTTACAGGTGGCGAGGAAACGTGTGCATATTATATGAACATTACAACTTTTTCCACTTTTAGAATCGTTATATCTTATAATCGGTGGCTTTTAGGAAAAAAAGTATTGAGACATTTTTTATAGATAATGATCTACAATTTTTGTCTGACCTAATTTTATGAAATGATAAAACTTACCGTTTTGCTGAAAAACGCGAAAAACCCATTATTGAGACCATTGACCTTTAATAAGAAAATTTCCAGGTACGGGATCGATGGGGACTTAGCATTTATTTATAATGGTGTTCCGAACATTCATACCAATTTTTAGCTCTATGGGAATTTTTGTACCCTTGCATGTTTAAATTGACCGGAATATTATTGCTTCTTCGTAATTTGAACTGTTGAGTAAAATCGATTTCGATCCGAATTAGATAGATACCTACCTATTCTCCAAAATCATTTCTCTGGTACTTTCTTCATTATATTATGTTTTTAAGAATTATGAACTAAAATTGGTGCTTAGGACTTTGAGCACCCCAGGGGCTAGAACAGAGAGTTTATACACTTATTAAGCTTCTCAAGAAACTATAATGTGCCCAAAGGCTCGCCACAAATTCATTATTCGAATTCTCGTGAAAAGCATCCAATTTTCAACTATCTCAAGAATTATGATTTCCTGTTGCTGTCGAGCCCGTCCTAAAACTCCTAGAAGAATCAGTTTTTACATGAATTATGTTCCTCGAGTAACTGTAGTGAACCCAAAGGCCTTAAACTACTTGAAATTCGAATTGAGGATAGTTTAATGAGACTTTAGAAAAAAACTTATACCCATGAGTAGCTCAATAAGTGTTAGTGTTATAAACTGACTGCTCTAGGATCTGTAGCATGCCCTAAGACTAAAAAAAAAAATTTCAACCAACTTTTTTGGGAAAAGTATGCCATAAGTCCCAGCACAGTCAGTTTATTATACACCAGCTAAACTTAACTGCAGTGTGGCCAAGCCAAAGAAGCTGTGCCAAAGGGCTCAAAAAACTTAAAATTCCAATCAGGGCTAGTTTTGAAATCACATTTGAGAATAATTCAGATCTTCAACTAGTCCTCTTCGGGCATGCCACGATAGCTTAAAAGTTATCGAAGGGTTATTACATGGAAATAATTTAATTTGGTTCAGGAGTTAAGAGTGAAATTGGAAATATTAATTTTCTAAGGGCGTAACTTGGAAAGTAGCTCGATTTTGAGTCTAAAATTGCCTCGAAATATAAATTCAATGTAGTTTCTAGAACACAGTACCTAGTTACCTAAATGATACACTCAACAAAAAATCTTCTACAAAATACTTCTATTCAATCACAGATTCAATCAACTAAACAAAGTTTTTTAAATTAGAGTTTGAGAATAAAATTACCTTCACCCAAGCTTTCAGGGTCATACCATGATGATACCATGATAACATGCAATTTTATGAGATTTTTAATCAATGACAATCAGTCTAACTCTCGGTCTAACTACAATGAACCTCTGGAGCTCAAAAGTGCTCTTAATAGGTTCAAAAAAGTTCTTTAAGGTTTCCAATTCTAAATTGAATCCTAATTGTTCTGAAATAACGTTGAAGTTTCCAAATTATTCCAAAATGCTCCTGAAAATTCTGATTTGGATTTGAACTGTTTTGCATGCTTATTAAAAGTTTAAAGTTCTACAGCAATTTAAATTCGCTCTTGAACTCCGCCTGTAACTTTTAACTTCAATCCTAAGGTTCTGACGCTTTTCAAAATGTTACTGGAGATTGTAGAGTGTTTTGGAGCTTCCTAAAATGGGTTTTAAACTTCTAAATTGTTATAAAATGCTTTTGGAAATTGTATAGATATCGGTTTTTAAATGTTTTGGAGCCTTCTCGAATGGTTCTGAAATTCTCAAATTGTTCTGAAGCAGTACAGAATGCTTTTAGAAATTCTGAATTGAATTTTAAGTGTTTTGAACTTTCCAAAAGGCTTATTAAAGTTCTAAAGTGTTCTGTAGCATTTTGAATGGTTTCCAGAAACTAAATTGAATGAGAAACGAATTCTGTGAGAAGTTTTTGTAGACATCTTAAAAGCGTTCCTAATGAACGTTTGCACCGACCTTTTTAGGGAAGCCTTAGCGATAAGTATTCCTTAAAGGTACATTTCTCAATGTAAGGGCCGGTATTTCAATGTCACCTTGTACAGAATAACGTTATAAGTTATCCTTAATACAAGTTTCACCGTATATCAAAGTTCCCTTAGGTGGATCTTAAGCCACCTGAATGAACTAATTTCAAGTTCATCTTAACGTTAAGGGTACCCAGGGTCGGCGCAAGCGACTTTGGCGCCCTAGGCAAATGTACTGTCTGCCGCCCCCATCAAGTAAAAATACAAATATGCATGGCTATTTTTAAAAACATGTTTTATAGTTTTATTAATGATTGAACATAATATAGGTATACCTGACTTACAGAATATAGATTTTAGAATATTAACATAAAAAAATATTCACACACATGCCCGCCGCAGACGAAAAAACCCTGTTCTGGTGCCACACCCAAAACGTTCATTTTGTGCCAAAAATATTCGTAATATAAAATAAGTACCTACCTATAGTTTTTGGCCGCCCGTCACACGGTCGCACGACCCCTATAGTGACTAGCAGAAACAGGTATAGCAGTATGTGCTCATAAGAAGAGGGCAAAGTTTGTTTTTGGGTTTGCAAGAAAAATGGAATCCTGAATATTATGAAGAAAAGCAAAATTCAAAAGATTTTTTTTTTTTTGTTGCGTTTTTGCCGCCCCTTTTAGGGAGGCCGCACATCAAAGAAACATGAAACGTGAAATATGAAACATGAAACGTGAAACACGTTTCATGAAAATAGAATAAGAACAAATAAATACAAGTCCGCCCACCAATGAAACACGTGTGATTCATGCGCGTGAAACATTTTTGTTGCTTGAAACGTGTTTCATGAAATCGAGCATGAAATAGATCGCGTTCTATTTTTCTGT